TAATTCGAATCTCAAATTTTATGGCTTCACATAAATAAAGTAGTGGAATATTCTGAAGTATATTCAAGTCTAACTTTAAAATCCTTAGTCGAAATTTCTAGCTAACACTAATATCAAATAAATATAACAAACATTTTCGTATTTACCTTAGACATTCTTCTCAATACCAACACAAACAAACTGCACTTTTTGGTGGTGTTTTGTTTTAAGATCGAAAAAGCCCGATTTTGCACATTTGCAGCAACTCTGTTCTCAAACTGCGATTTGCAGATTTTTTGTGGTGGACGAACAATGGCGGACACAAGTAAACCTTGTGTATGAACTGAGCACAAACAGAAAGGTGACAAGGTGAATTCGTCCAACAATGACGGATTGAGTAATAAAAGAGTTGAGGTTGAGTTGACTATGAAATTAGCAGAAGAGAAAAGAGAAAGATGAAATTGTGCTCATCCAAAGAATTTTGACACTTTTAATTGATTTTCAATTTAATAATTAAAATTATTTCTTTTTAATTTAATAATTAAAATATTAATTTTGTCATTTTTAATATGATTGAGACTTAATTGCAATATTAATAATATGAGAATACATAGTAAATGATATATCCTAGGTGACACTATTTAAATTAGGGTTTGTTTCTCATTTATCAAATTAATAACTTCTCATTTTTGTGACTGCACCATAGAATTATCCTTTTTCCAAATCCATTCGTTGATTATCGAGAGAGAACATAAAATGGTTTCAATATTTACAAAATCCAAATTAGGAAATGATTATTGATGAAAAATGAATCTTGGCACTTGATTTTGACCAAAAAGTCAAAGTTTGACTTTTCAGTATACAGTCAAATTTTGATCAGTTGACTGAAAAATTCATCTGTCAATCCTATGCATTTGGGATCTTTTGAACTTGTTGAATGTGTCAAGACAATGTCATTGAGTCCTTGAGTCCATGTGTGAGCTTGGTTTTCCATTGGCTAGGTCAAACAGTCAAAAATTACCTTTGTGCAGTCAAACCCCTAAAAATGACCATTTTGCCCTTTTGGTGATCTGATCAAATTTCTTGTGGAGTTGTGATCCAAACTTGACCAAATGGTTCATATGAGTTCATTATGTTGATGTGGGTCAAAAATCATGAGGTTTGACTGTCAATTGGCCACAGTTGACTTTTTCCCTAATACAACTGATTTATAGGTCAACTGTCCAATTGACTGGGCAAAGATTGGAATCAAGGCTTGAAACTTGGTATGGATAAAGTTGTAAGTCCAACATGAAGCATGAAAGTCACTTTGGGAATTTTAGGTCAAAACATCCTTGTGCAAACTCAAACCCTAATTTGGGTCAACAGTGCAAGGAGGGGTCTTGAGCAGAGCAAACCCTAACTTGATCTTGAGTTCCAAGAGTCTTGTGATGAGAAAATGTTGATGAAATGAGAGGGAAAATTTTGGGGTACAACACATACCAACAAATTTGAAATTGCTGATAAAAATACAAACAAAATTTTAGATTTTACCATATATTTCAAAATTGTTGTAATTGTGTTGAAAATTTTGAAAATTTTAGAAAAAAACATAAGTTTTTACTAAATACATATCGAGTTTTTGAAATTGTCGATATATGAAAGGGTATCATCAAATATTTTAAAAGATTTGATAGGCCAATTTTTATTTTTAATTTGTTGCTTTTTTTGTATGCAATAACACTATTAAAGTTTTAAGAATGGTAACTTGAGTGTAGTTTTTCTCAACATGTGTTTTGCATGATATCAAAACTATAAGAATATTGCATTTTGTGATAATGTGCGGTATTTTTGAGCTTGCGTGGCACCCTACGCATTTAGATGTCTTAGGAATCATTGGAAACATAGTCAAAACTGACCCTGTCGCATAAAATCATTTTTTGTACTAAAAATGCATTTTCAAGCCGGCTCATAAGTCACTACAAGTCAGCTCATGTATTACTCTAAATAAGCAATTTTTCCTCTGACTTGGTCAGGCTGGCTCATAAGCCATTTTAGATCGGCTCATGTGCTGCCTTAGATAAGTAGTTTTATTATGTCTTGATCAGGTTGGCTCATGGGTTATTTCAGACCGACTCATGTTGTTGAAATTAACACCATGAGTCGACCCATCCAATCTACAGGCCGACTCATACTGTTTCAAGGGTCATTCTTTCATTTTTCTTTTAATTCCAAATTTCCTCTTTTGCCCCAATAATTCCATAACTATAAATATATCTTTCATGCATCATTCCAACTTGAAGATACAATAAAAATTTTCTGCAATTGCTCTTCACCTTCAACCTCTAACCTATGCATACACACTAACAAATGCAGGTGAGTTGTCAACATCGATTCTAAAAATTTGATTTAAAATCAACAACTAGTTCATCGTTTATGTAGTGTCTAAGAGCCTCCTCTAAATTGTGCATAAATTTAAAAATGTAGCCTTTCTTCCTTACGTAACTCTTGATTATTGCATTAACTGCTTCAGATTGTGATGTAGTTATTATACATCCAAAAAACTTGTCACATAGATATGCAGTTTCCCATAGTGACGTATTCTCATACGTCTTGGTCACCCATGGATTTTCTTGAAGTTCATTTTCTTTAATTAGCTTTGACCAAAACTCTTCAAATTGATCCTTTGAAAAATTTGAGTACGTGGCTTTTTTAAAGTCTTCAAAAAATTTCGAGTTCTTTACATTTTCACCTGCATTCTTATTCAAATGTCAAGCACATAATCAATGGGTTGCATCGGAAAAAATCTATTCTATAGCCTCCCTCATAGCCCCATCTACATCTCTTACCACTACTTGTGGGTATTTATCACTCATGCACTCTAGAAAACAACTCAACAACCACTTATAGGTCTCTGTAGTTTCATCCGATACGAATGTAGCACAAAAAATAACTGTCTGAGAGTGGTGGTTACACTGTGAAAATATAACCAATGTGTAGTTGTATTTGCTCTTCTTGTAAGTTGTGTCGAACGCAACCACATCACTAAATCAAAAATAGTCGGATCTACTGCTCCCATCAGCCCAAAAAAGAGACCTAAGTCGTCCATCACCGTTGACAACATATTTTGCATATAGCATGGATCAGTAGATGACTTTACATTTAGATAATTTAAAGAAGCAGAAACGTCACCATCTTTAATAATACCACGCATTTTTTATCAAAATAATTGTACATATCTTTCTTTGTAAACTCAACACCAGCGTATCCACCCTTCTGAGTAACCATGTACCCACTTATATGACAAGTTTTAATTCCATGTGACTGAAGCCCATTAATCTGAGCTCTATCCGCTTAAGAAATTTAACGATAAAAGGGGTGTAAGTGCACAAACCTAGATGGAATTAATTCATGATTATGAGCCTCTTCAAAAACTGACAATACATATATACCCTTTTTGGCTTTATAGTGCACACAAAGCATAGCTGCACATTTAGTACGAGTTAAACGTTTGTGATCTCTTTTCCTATCTAACCTACATAAGTGTTTATGCTCTCTTGAACCATGTTTGTTGCTACAAACCACCTCATTACTGTTATTTTACTACCTTCGGGCCCTCTTCTCCTAATATCACTTTTCCTAATGGCAAAACCTTTGCATTTACCATACTTATAACTTATAATAGAAATCATAAGCTTCATCAACAGAACCAAATTATATAGCATAAATTTCATCAGAAGTCATGGAATTAATACTTACCACTTTATCGCCTACAACTGCATCTAATTCAACCGAGTTATCTTCATCGTCACTATCAGCATCGTCGACATCATTATTTGAGCTTTGATAATTGTCACCCTCATCATCATTCACTTCAACATCAGATGTATCACCATCAGTGGAATGGACTTCATTGGAGTCAACCTCAAATGAATCATCTGAGTTTTCCATCGTAAACCTGAATTAAAACAACTTTTAACACAACAAAACTCAACATCAATCACAATACATAATTCCATAATTAAAAACAAATGTAACTAAGAAAATTGAAAATTGAAATCGTTAAGTTTGAAACACATATACAGGAGAGAAAAATTCAGGCTAATCCCTAATTCTCAAATCGAAATACCCATATATAGAAAACAAATTCAAACACAAACCCTAATTCCCAAATTGAAATCAATTATAATACCCCAATTCGATATCATTAAATCTTAGTAACTAATATCAAATAAATATAACAAACACTTTCGTATTTAGCTTAGACATTCTTCTCAATACCAACACAAACAAACTGCACTTTTTGGTGATGTTTTGTTTTAAGATCGAAAAAGCCCGATTTTACATATTTGCAGCAACTTTGTTCTCAAACTGCGATTTGCAGATTTTTTGTGGTGGACGAACAATGGCGGACACAAGTAATCCTTGTGTATGAACTGAGCACAAACAGAAAAGTGACAAGGTGAATTCGTTCAACAATGACAGATTGAATAATAAAAGAGTTGGGGTTGAGTTGACTATGAAAATAGCAGAAGAGAAAAAGGAAAGATGAAATTTCTTTCATCCAAAGAATTGTGACACTTCTAATTGATTTTCAATTTAACAATTAAAATTATTGATTTTTAATTTAACAATTAAAATATTAATTTTGTCATTTTTAATATGATAGGGACTTAATTGCAATATTAATAATATGAGAATACATAGTAAATGGTATATCCTAGGTGATTTAAATTAGGGTTTGTTTCTCATCGATCAAATTAATGACTTCATCAAAGAAGTCATTTTTATGACTGCCCCATAGAATTATCCTTTTTCGAAATCCATTCATTGATCATCGAGAGAGAACATAAAATGGTTTCAATATTTACAAAATCCAAATTAGGAAATGATTATTGATGAAATAAAAACAACATGCAAATAAGCACATGATATTGAGAAAAATATCCAAATCAAATTAGAACCAAAACAAACGTGAATTGCTGTAGACAAAGTGCAGTAACAAAAAATAACAATTTAATCATTAATGGAAAACAATTGTATTACATAGAAAACATCATGAGATGTTCATGTTCTTTTTCAGCAAGCTTCGTCCTCAACTCAAAAATGGACATCATAAACTGTTCAAGCTGTTCACCACTCATATCATCAATAGAATCATTCCACCATCCAACTCTATTCTCAATATCGGCAAGTTTCTTCTTTTCCATTTCCAACATCTTTAGTGCCTCTTCATATTCTCTATTATACTGCTCACAGATCGAGGAATCTCCCGTCGAGTTCTGATCCTCAAACAAAGTGGTTCCTTTGATGTAACTGTTGAGTATAGCGTCGGTGTTGGGTCGACCGTAGCAGAATAGTTTATCAGCCGGAGAAAACACAATGATGGCTAGGTTAGCATCGCTTAAGACGCAAAGTTCGCAAGCTTTTTTGAATAAACCAGATCTTCTTTTGGAGAATGTGACTTGTTTGTTGGTTTCTTTTTCGACTTTCTTGATTTCGATTTTCTTGCGTCCCATGGATTTCTTTCTCTGGTTAACTGTGTTCATGGTGAAAATCAGAGTTCAATAGTATTACAAAATGTGAAATCTGTTTTCATGGTTTTATAGTGTCATAAAATAAGTACCTACAATTTCTCTCAATCTAACATTATGAATTAAATTGTCATTTAATGTTATATATTGCACAAATTTTTATTTTCCTTTTTCTATCATAATGCTTTTAATTCGACGTCAATTTGAAATTTCACATGGGTTTTTTAATAAGAATTACTCACTCCGTTCATTTTTGCATGGGTTATTAACTTATTAATTTACATTACTGCCCCATTTTTTCTCAAATAATATATATGTATTTCACTTAACTAGTATAATAAAAATAATTACTAAAACTGTTTTCATAAATAATATTAATTGTGTTTTAAAAATCAATAAAATTAATCAGTTTTTAAAAATTTACACGTAATTCAATTGTGACATTTTATTTGTATTGGATAGATTATTAAATACAATACAGTATTAGAAATAAATTATTACAAAACATATATTTACAGCATATTTTTATTTGTAATTTATGGGAGACTTTACTCGCTTCAACATTTCTTTGTGGTCAAGCATTCAAGATTGTTAGGGGTTAACCTTGGACTAGAGACTAGAGGTTTTTTCTTTAATTTCCTCTACCATTTCGTGATTGGTCTGGGTTAAAATGGATCTGATTTTTCATTGGTCTGTATGGTATGAACCGGGTAATTGGTTTTTGAAGAAAAATTTACATACATAAGAACATAATTATTACAAAAAATCAATTAGAATTAAAAAAAATTTAATTCATTTAAAATTTAATTTGTATGCATCGACAGTGTAAAACAGTTTTACACTGTCAGTAAATCGCGGTCGTTAAATATTTATTGAAATTTAATTTTTATGTTAATCAATTATAAAATAATATTTGTGAATGGTTATGATGCACTGACTATGTAAAGAATTTTACACTGACAGTGTATAGTAATTAATCTAATGCATATATATGTCGGTTTATTTAGCCTTTTTATAATATATATGCATATATAGACCAACATATCTAGAATATTTTTAATATATATAAAAAATATAGGCCAGTTTATAAGATTTCATAAAATTTTTTTAATAGCCTAAACCTATCCTATTTAATTAAAAAAGTTTTTAAAAAAGTCTAAGTCTGACATTTTAACATTTTCAGTAAATGAGTCTGGTCTGTCCTAGCCTTAAATAGGTTAGGTCATAGGCCCCTGTAAATCGGCTTAGCCTATTTTCACCTCTAATTGTGATTACGAAAGAGAAAAAATATTACATTTTTATTTTTTAATTAATAAAAAAACGTGATTTGTTATTTATAAAACTAAATATTATATTTGTATGTACTTAAGTTTTTTCCATATATTCGTTCCCCTTTTATTGAAACACCAACTTTCTTATTTATATCAAATAACTAAGGCTCACTTATGCAAATAAAAATTCTATATAATACCAAAATTTCAAAATTAATTCCCTTAATTTAAGTTAGAAAATGAGAAGATGAAATAATTGAAATAACTCAAAATTGAAAATTGATCCAAAGTCAGGAAACTAATTGAAAATAGAAAGTCTATTAGATAAAAAATAATACTCTTTGTTTCAATTTTTGAAATAAAATACAAATTGAATAAACCAAAATAAATAAAGTCTAAATATTTTCGAAGTCGTAAAATAGTCTGGTACAGGTCAAAATTCAAAATATTTTGCTCGTTAATTTTATGTGCAATGTCGAATTACTTCGACCGATCAACCTGTAAAATCGAAATTTTATTCTGATTGAATTTTGATCAACTTCATGCAATGTATGAGATGGTGTAAGTAAATAAAGATGCATGAAGTGCGATTTAGGTTATTTTGACTTTTTAATGGTGTAAATGTTAACCCAAGGTTGACTTTTGGTCAACTAATACATTTATGACCGACTAATGGTACAAATGTGATGAATGAATTACTCTGGAGTGAAATTAGGGTATGACAGCTGCCCCTATTTAATTATCATTAACTAGATAGTATGAATGACCCTTGTCTTCATAGTATCATTATGAAAGGTGATTAAATCCAAAAAGCCCTAAATTTTGTCCCTAGGGTAAAAATGGAATGTAATGCAATGGAAGTGTCTATTGAGAATTTATTTTGCTAGGGATATGAAATGGAATGTAGACTCTGAGGATTATGGATATACTCATAATGGAAATTTATCGAGGATTGAATGAGGTAAAATACTCGCTGGAGAAAATAAGATATTTTTGGAGATCTGTCAGGATGACAGGGAATATCCAGCAATACTTGGAACAAGAGGGACAAACTCTGGAAAGATAATAGAGACATCCAGAAAAATATTGGATGCAACAAGGAACTGCACTCTAACAAATACATCAGAAACATCTAGGAAAGCATGATATGTGGAACGAGACCAAATCTGAAGATACGTCAGAGGCATTCTGGAAACAACGAATGACATCTTTACTGGAGAACACCTCAAGAACTTCTAGAAAATCATTCGCAACTTTACTAGGGAAAAGAAAATTGTCATCAGAGACATTCAAGAAAGCATTGAATGTAACTCTAGAAAACATCTGAAACATCCATAAAATCATTAGATGAACAAGAATCTAATCTGAAGATATACCAGAGACATTTAGAAAAGCATTGAATGTGACAACTCTGGAAAATACATAAAAAACTTCTAGAAATGCATTAGATGTGAAAGAATACAATCTAAAAATATATTAGAGACATTCAAAAAAGCATTGAATGTAACAACTCTAGAAAATACATTAGAAACATCTAGAAAGCATTAGATAGAAAATGAGTCTAAACTCTGGGAAAACATCAGAGACATTCAGAAAAGCATTGGATAGAAAGGAAACCCATTCTGAAAAAGATATCAGAGACATTCATAAAATAATTGAATGAAAAAGGAGACCTAAACTTCGGAAATACGTCAGAGACACATTAAAAAGCATTGGATGAAAGAGAAACAAACTTGAAGGCATCCAGAAAAACATTGGGTCGAGTTGTTAACCAAACTCAGAGATATATTGAAGACATCTAGAAAAACGTTAAATGTACAGGAACATGTTCTGAAAAACATCTAAAACATCCAGAAAAGCGTTGAATGTACATGAACAGGTTTTCAAAAAACATATGAAACATGAAGAAAAACGTTGAATGTACGGGAAGAGGTTCCAAAAAACATATGAAACATTCAGAAAAGCGTTGAATCTACGAGAACAACTTCTAGGAAAACATCAGAACCAACAAGAAATATTCAGAAAGCATCGAGTAATCATAAAATGGTTTTGGAAAAACATCAAAATGACAGACACATCTGGAAAACATCAGATAAGCACAATGGATTCTAGAAAAACATCATAACGACAGACACATCCAGCAAACATCAGAACACATAATACATATTCAGAAATACATCAGATCACTACAGACTTGGGAAATTCAAATGAGCACGAAATACTCTTCGAGCTATGCATGATATTTAACTTTACTTCTATGCATGATATATGAATGATCAATGCATCCCATGTAAATTCTTATGACAACTGAGCTATACTCTTTTGTGAGGTAAGGTTGGAACTCTGATTCCTTAACACATGGAACTTTTCCAACTCTGCCTTTGAAAGAATTTTTGAATATGCTTTTGTCACACTTTCCAATAGTATTCAACATATGGTCTCATTGGGAAAGACTGATGAGTTATCCTTGGGGATTTCTTGAAGTAAATTATCCCATATTTAATGATTCTTGAAATGAATGCTTTATTGTGTGCTTGTAATGCTTGCTCCAACATGAGTCTTAAAGTGATATTTTGTTGGTTAACCAATTCTTGGAATAGTCTTCCCTGATCGATAGATCTTGAACTGATTTTCTCTTATCAACAAGAACATGACTTTTGTTTCAATCTGTTCAGTTTCTGAAATTCTTGCTTTGGTATACGCCTAACTTCTGTCATTACCAAGGTTTGATTTTCCTTTCATCTTCCAAACGATTTACTTTCTTCTTTCCCCTATAAATCAACATGCATTCATCCTTAGATTGCATAACCATCTTCTGTGCAAGTTGTAGAGCTTCTTATTGATATTGTAATCGCGATTGATTTCAATTTTTTTGTGTGGAATGTATTACAAACAATCTTACAATCAGTTTGTTGTTCTCTGTTTGTAGGTAATCTGTATGTTGTTTGTTTGTTCCTTCAATGGCCAGACTCTTTGAATTTGTCAAGTTCTCATCCATCAGATTATATTTACCACTTTCTATCACCACATAGTGATTTTGCTCAGGTATGCTTTTTTCTCTTTCTATCATGTTTGAGTTTCTGATTTTCATCAATCGATTACAATCAGTGTAACCGCTTCTACAATTGTTATAATATTAGGGTTTACGATTCTCGATATTCAACTTGTATCTGAAGTGATTCTTTTATGCTTGATTTCTTTTGTTTGATTTGTGATTGTGCTTATGTATTTTTTTTTAATTATTTGACTTTGTTTTTGTAAACCTAGGTTTATATATTTTTTAAATATTTTTTAAATGATTTCCAGCACTGTTTTTGCTTGTGTAAGTAGGTATAAGGGTTTGTTATTATATGAGAAATATAAGTAAAAATTCCACTTAATTTTTCTCATTTTAATATATATATATATATATATATATATATATATATATATATATATATATATATATATATATATATATATATATATATATATATATATATATATATATATATATATATATATATATATATATATATATATATATAATAATGTTGATAATTAATTAATAATATTTGTTTAAGGTTAATAAATTCTGATTTTATTTAATGCTTTTATTGCTAATCATTTTTATTTATAGTAATTTTTTGTTACATATTATATATTATAATTGAAATCAATTTAAATCTCATTTATAGTATATTAAATTAATTAATTAAGTTATGTATGATCATTATAAACTTTTATTTTTAGTAAAAAGTAAAA